CCAACCCCTAACATTCTGTGATTCTGTGAAACTATAAAATAAACAAAAATAAATTGAGTATATTCTGCCTCAGTCAGCACATGAGCCAGTTTTAGCATCCTGTACTAAGATACTCAGAAGTTTGTCCAGTTCTTGAGTACAGGAGTATGTGTTGCTTTTTTTTTCAGGGTTATGTGGTGCTGGCAGCCCAACAATATTATAAAAGATACAATAAAACAATCAGTGATAGTTGTTTTGAGACAAATGAGACCAAAGAGACAAAAAATTGTTGAAAATTATCAGTCATCTGAAATTTCCTACCTTGCATATCTGAGATGCATATAGCAAAAGCTTCTTGTGGTCCAGCCTCTCCTTGTGTTTCTGCAGATAATCTCGTAAACTTCCATAAGGTAAATATTCCATAATTAATCTTAGATTCCTACGACCTTTTACAACAACAACAAAAAATACACTTAATTTTCTGTCATTTTGCACTGACAATTTTGAAATATATTTATTGATGTCTATGAGTAAAAGTAATAGGAAATAAGTCTTAATACCAAAAAATTAATTCATTATCTGTACATCGCTATGCAATTTTTCACATATTAGTTAACTGCATTTATTCAGGAAATGGCATTTATTTAAACAAAACAATAAAGTGCATATGCTTGATATACAGAGCATCACTAATCAAAATAATCTCATCAATACTTTAGCTACTACTGCTACAGGTGTATATCTATGTTCATGTAATTCCTGCTCATTGCTGAGATGAAACAGAATGGCAACTGACATCAACTGGTCAGCAATTTTATCATCTTTAAAAACTTAGTCTGATTTTGAATCCAATATTCTTTTTACAGCAAGATCCTGGGTAGAACCTATGCTTTCATTCATCAACTTCAACAGCATCAAAAATTCACTCGAATATATCTGTTTCTGAAAGTTTTTCCTTTCTAGTTTTTTACTATATACACTGTACAAGAATTGGCAATATCTACTTTGGGAAGTTATATTGAGCAAAAAACAGCAGTTACAAAATGGCTGCATTTTCCTACTTAGCCCTAAATTCTTTTTTAGGAAGACTTATGCTTTAAGATAAAGAAACTTGGTAACTATTCAAAACAGTACTTTCTCTAAATCAATCAAATAATCCAGTGAGCTGACTGAATAAAATGTCCACCTTCTACTGAGAAGCAGTATACAACATACACTACTTCCTTTGGTTTGTACTCTCTAAATTCTGGTAAAGTTAGGACAAGCTAGTGACTTTCCATAAACACTTACCTCTCTGAATTTCTCAGTATGCATACTTAGATGTATAACTGGAGGTGTAATCAGTATAGCACATACCTGCACTGTAGCATACTCCTTTGTATTTAACAATGTTATCATGCTGCAGAGATTTAAGTATTTCAATTTCTCTTTCAAAGTCTCTAAGGTGCTCTTCTGTGCTATGTTGCAGCTTTTTCACAGCCACCACCTCCCCAGTATTATCCTGCAGGGGATCATACCGGCACATCTCAACACTGCCAAAATTTCCCTAGAAGACAAACGGAAATATTTGATTTAAAAACAAGTCCATTTCTCTCAGTGCTTGCTCATACTGCTTCAGTGCTCACTGTATTAGCATTAAGGTGACCATAATTAATTATTTAAGTGAAATGCCACAAAACTTCCCTGGGCGAAAGAGAGTAGGATCACAGGTAACGGTTCTCTAAGGAAGCAAACAGCACCAGAGTAAAGGAGGAGAAGGAGAGGGAGTGATGTCCATTCATTTTTTCCTCCCCTTCTTCACAAATTTCGCCTTGCATTTCCAAATTGTCAGCTGGGATACTCCTTTTACTGGACTTGCAAGAACCCCTACATCTAGGTTCCTCTTGGCTCTTAATTCTCCTGTTTCTTGGTGGTTCCTTCCTCATTTGTTTCAATGTTCTACCTTTTTCTCTTTCTCTGTTTTCTTTATCTTCCTTTATGCAGTCATCACCTACCACTCTTCCTCTCCTTATGCTATGCTACCATTTATAATCAACAAAGAACCATCTGCAAACAGAAGTAGTTCTGCTGCTTCACTTCCAGGTCTGCTTTCACTAGTACTGAAGAGTCAAAGAAATGTATCACTATCATGTCAACAAAAAACATAAACCAGCAAGGAACCATTCTGGAAACAATGGTACTTGAGCAAAGATCTGCCAGCTGCACTTGGTCATCTGTCTAGGCATGCTTTCACACAAGCCAGGTTGCAATGACTTGCAAAACCGGTAACCAAATGCTGATTTCTAAAGCCTAAAATGTTCAAGGCCTACATATATCTCAAAGACATTACTGAACTTAGGGACTGCATATTCAGACTTCTCAGAATATACATGCACAAAAAAACCCAACCTCACTAGTTCTATGCAAGATTGCTCTGGAGCATTTTTAAATGAATACCAAGTATATTAAAAAAAAAAAAGTCAAATGCAGCTCTGCGTTACTGAAGATGATTTCAGCCTTTTGGTGTGACTGGATTCATTGTAGAGGTCAGCTGCCTTTCTTCTAGGTAACGATATTGTGAAACTGAAAAAAGATCTATAGGAAACGGCATGTTGTGGTCAGATATGACTGAAATTATTAATTTCTGTAACAGAAGTTTCAATGTAAATAATGTATATGGGGTCACTGGAAGATAACTGAAAAAGATAGTTCTTTCTTAGGCAATTAGAGAATTTCAAAACATCCTACCTTGCCAAGCTGCTGTAAAAACTTAAGATGTCTTTCTTCAAATTGTGTTGGGTCCCGGTCTTCAAAAGCACCAGAAAATCCAAGTGCTCCAATTCTCATATTTGGCAACATATCACTTTCTGTCAATAGCTCATAATCTGTAGGAGGAAGAAGGAAAGAGAGAAAGGGAACAGGAGGCAAAGAGAAGTGAATAGGAGAATGGAGAAACTACAATCATGGCACGTTCTACTTTTGCTTGGCATAGTCCAAGCTTAGTAGAATATTTAAAACCACCTTAATTTCTATATAGTAATTTGCAAAGACAGATGTAATACAAAAAAGCCAAATGTCTCATAGCGAGTCATGGTTAAATTTCCCAATTTTCTTTTTTGCAGGCCTACTGTACTTCAAATTTAGTAACTATTGGACAAACAACTCCACTACTGCAGAGGGGAGAAATGTAAACTTCCCAAGGGCTTGTGACAACAGGTGTCTGCCACTTGGAAAAAAGACAGACATCTATTTATTTTATTGAGAGAAAAAAAAAAGACAGTCACAAACAAAACATACTTGCTTAAGAGACTAGAATGTTTGGTATAGACATTAATCAAACCAGAAAACTGTTCTGAATGATAATGCTAACTTTTAATGTGTTCACTTTTAGAACAAACTAAAAAGCAGTAATATAGTGTCCATACAAAATTAGATTTCCGGGGCGGCTCTGGAGAGTGGTTGTGGGTCGACATACCAAAAAGAAAGGCACCATACGAAAATAAACCAATAGGAATGAGGGTTCTTTTTGCTTAGTGTGTTCTTGTATCACAGACTCACCTGGAGTGAACAAACTATTCAAGTCACGTATAATTGCTCTAAATGAAGGCCTGAAATCTGGCTCGTAATCCATACAGTTGTTTATAAGGTTTGCTAGTTCTGTCCAGTTGGGGGCAGGAAGCTGATGCCTATCTTCATAAAACTGTAGTTTCTGGAATTAAATAGATAAAAGCCACTAAGATAAAATCATGAAGAGTTGCAGAAGGCTTAACATCCTCACTAGAGCAGCCAAAAAATACAGCTCTCCATCTAGACTCTTACCTCACCAAACATACAGCTGACCAATTTATATCAAAAAACAAGGCTGACAATGTAGCAAGACTGGCATAATTTAATCAGTTAAGAAACTCCCAGTCAGTTACTAGTGGAAGATAAGAAAATAAAGAAAGATAATGAGAAATATGGTGTTTCCTTTGTTGGCAACTTCATACAAACTCAACAGGATGGGTCCAGCAGAAAATTCTATCCACCTGTGTGCTGGCTGGGCTCCTTCAGTGGTAAAAAGCTTCATCAGCGTTATGAAAGAATGTAGATTAGTACAGAAGAGGAAGGCAACTTCTGAAATACCTAGGGATCTATAAACTAGGTCTAGGTAGACCTTGGAGATTATTATAAGAGTTGATTACAACACCTGAGAAATCAGATTAGGCTTTGTGAGAAGGTAACAGTCCATTTATAAAAATAAGACTACAAATCTTTTTGTAGCATAGTAAAGGAAATAATCATTTTGCTTCCAACTAAGGAAGCAAATAAATAAGAAATAATATTTTTATGGAATGTGTTTCCCCTCCACTCCCTGCCACTAGTTGAGACCAAGTTAACGTTTCTGGTTTAGCTAAAAGAAGAGAACTGTCTGCAAGACACAGTCTTACAGTACTTAAGATGTTCAATTAATAGAATAACGCTAATTAAAATGCATGCACATTGTTAGGAATACTTTTTGTTTGAAGTGATACACTGTTGCAACAAAGCAACAGAAGCATGAATAAGATAATACTGGCACCGCTTTACTCTGTTCCCATAACAGTCAAAATAAACAACACAAAACCAGACCTCAAATCATTACTTCTGATCATTTTCTACCAGTAGAAGTGGCCTTTTCCTACAGCAGTCACAGGTCACACCACTTTACATGCTAAGATAGTTACAACAGCAGATGATTTAAATCAGAAGTGTCCAAAGAACTGTCATAACTGCAGACTCGCTGATACTTACCCTTGAAGAATCCAGTGCACTCAGAGGTTTGTCTCCTCCACTGCAGATTTCCCACAAAGTAGTACCAAAACTCCATTTATCTGTGGCCAAGCTTAATTGTTTAGGATTCTCAATACATTCAGGTGGAACCCATGGTATCCTCTCAAGAAGAACTGTGCAATCACACAAAAGAAACAACGTTAGGATGAATAATAAAAACAGAAAATTCTACAACATACTTGATTTAGTAAAAACTACTTTAGTACACATAGGTATTTCATTATGTAATGTGCTTTTAATACCTTTGTAAGATTTTGTTCCTGTTGAAAAGACCCAAAATACCTATAGTATGTACAAAAATAGTTTTTATGAAGCAGAGTGAAGGATCATTAGTTTTATTCTAAAATGAGCTGCATGTTATAAAATACCTTATCATCATTTCCACACTATATTTTTGCTCCAACTTTTGTATTTCCCCCAATGTTATCAAGATTTTGTAGCTACTGCAAAGCAACTAGATGGAAAAGAGTAAGAAGTACTTTGCTAGTGGTTGGCACATTACGGCACAGCAAAAGGCACCGTAACAAGAAATTTCATACTATTTGATTTTAAAACTTTTGATACTGATTGTAGTAATAAGTTAAAAGATGGTATTGTACTGATGTAGATTTAGAGCTCCTTAAAATTACATCTTGTAAGATTAATGTAGGCTTCTAATTTAAAAAGTGAGAGTTTAAATAGTTTAACGGAAAATAATGACATTCCATTGCTTATAGTCTCTTAGATGCATTATTTCTTTTGGTATGTATAAAATTACCAAGTATAAAGTGTGTTCTTTTTCCCAAAATTATTACAAAGACTAGATAAAGAACAGTAAGTTTACTTCAGCTTCATTAGCATAACAATCTTGCACATGCTTCTAATTTCTTTTCATTTAATTAGTTTTGCTGTTTATAAAGCATTAGAACAGCCTCAGTGGCAGATGATAATCCAGTATTTTTAGCATCATCAAGTGGCTTCAGGTATTCAACAAGAAATGCATTGAAGATTATTTTCAACTGCCAGGCAGCATTTTCAGAAGTGCATTTACTTTCAACATTAAAAGCTTCTCCAAGATATAAAAATGACAATTTAATCTTGATCAAGAATAGGATAATAAGTCCAGCAGTTACCTGCAGATGCAAGAGACTTGCACATGGTACGTTATAGCATATAATAGTACTACCAGTGAAAAAAAAGTTGCAAATGAGAACAGCAGGAAAAAAACCCCTCACACAATGGAGAATCATGATTTTATTTCCTATAGCCATTTGCTGATAAAGAAGATACACTTAAAACTGCTGACTAGGACTGCAGAGATTATTTTAAAATGACAGATGGATGAAGGAACTTTAACTACAACAGAAGTACCTTAGATGGCAGTCAGAAAAAAAACCCACCCAAACTTATTTTTCAAGTCAGAAGCAATAAACAAGAAAGCTGACACAAAGACTTACTATCTCTTGGCAAAACTGTAATACTGATGCCAGGATCACTGAGTTTTATAAATGGAAGGTTTCCAGATTTCCTGTCTTCCTCTCTGATAAGCAAGATGTTTTTCGCACAGACATTTCCATGAACAAGGCCTTTATCCTCCTATGAACAGAAATACATCTTTTATATACTGACAAAAAAAAAATCTTATGGTTGAAGAGGTATTTAAAAAACAGTACTTTACAGCCTGAGAGAAACATCAGCAAAGAAAATAATGATCACAGATTAAGTTGATCAAATCTCAGACATTTCACCAGTTCCTCTCAAGAGTTATAGTTTCTAGCCAATTTCCATTAATTTTAATTATCTACCTAAATTTTCAAGTTTAAAACTATTTGATATATGTTAATACAGATTAATACTGATCCATCAGTATGATTCATTTAAAATTAATATGAGAGCATTTAAACTCTGTTAAAGGGAAGATTAATCTAATTATCCTTTCTCGAATAATAGCCTTTATGTTGCATTAAACAGACTGCAAGATTGGGAGCTAATGCACAAGAAGAATGTACTAGCAGTTTGAACAGTACAATGATTTCTCCTCACAGTGGTTAACTACTAACACTATCAGGAAATAGTTTATGTTCAGCATCATGAGCTGACAGGGAAAAAACAGGAAGCACTGATTCCTGGGGGGGCAGGAGGGGAAATACTGAAAATGTGTTTTTATTTCACATTAAAACATAAAGCATTAAAAAAGAATGTGAAATTAAATTACACTTCATGCAAGTCACAAAGGTCTGCCCTTGGCTATCCACTATCTTGTATATGCCCAGTCTATCTTCAAATACCCTCCAGAGTTTCAAGAAGCAGGGTAATAGCTCAGCCATTCTACATGTATTAGGCTGAATTAGCCATTAACAAAACTGAAGAATAAACTACTTACCAGAAAATGCATGGCTAATGCCAACTGTTTGGCTACTTCCAGCTTCCACAAGATATTGATAACGTTTTTGTTCTTTTTCAAGTATGTGTCCAAGGATCCAAATTTTACATATTCTTGTACAAGGATGTCTGATTTAAAATGGTAAAAAGAGTAACAATTAAAACCAACAACAAATAATGGAATTTTGGGAGAAAATAATTACTCTAGTGCTACCCATCTCTTCCTTTGATACCTTGTTGTTCAACTAACTATAAATTCAAAGCTATATAACATCTGACCATTGCCACAAATATTCTATGTTCTTTATACTTCTTCAGGGTGTGGAAGGTCACCTAATTTCTTCTCAAACGCAAAATTACTAGCTTTAATAGTCTTTTACAGAATAGGTTTCCAACTTAACAAATCCAGTGAGTATCCTTCCACCCTGACTTGAAAGGCACAATAAATAGCCTACCTTCTGATAAAGCATAGTAGTGTACAGCTGTATCAGTGGAGTGAGTTGAATACTATTCAAGTCATTTACTTCATAGTTGTTTGCAATCTATATTCTTAATGAAAAATATCATGCTTTGCTGACAAAATCTGCTGCTCTTGAAAATGGACTAATATTTGCACTAAAAAACATTGGTGTATAGGTATGACAAAGGCCTCCATGCAATCATCCAGCAAGTAACCCAAGAAACAAGATCCATTTCATAGTACTGCACAGTCTTCATCAGTTTCAGTACAATTTCAGATTGCATGACTGAACTCTTGCCTTCAGCTGCAAGATACTCACATTGCAGTGCTTCTCATTTTAACTCTAGTTTAGACACAGGAAACTACCGGTATTATATTTGGTTATAACAAATCAACTGATTTTTCTAACAAATTCATTTTAGAGACAGCAAACTTTTTTTTTTTTTACAATTATGTGAAGCAATTTTCATCAAATCTGTACATCAAGTCTATAATCCACAGAAAAAATAACAGCCTCTCTTCCTATTTCTTAGTAACTGTCTCTTACTAAACTGTAATAAGTCTCTTGCCTCTAGAAATGGATAGATGGTTCTATTTCTGAAGGCCAACTGTGATCTAAAGGAGAAATAAATAACCGTATACTTTTTTTTTTTTTAAATTATACACTTGATCTACCTGAAATTTTATAGATAGCCCTTATGCCTGGTAAAATAAATAAACTAGAAAAAACACTGATGGGCATTTTTGCAAAGAAACTGGCATAACAGGTTTTTGGCCAAACATAGTGCTGTGCTTTTTCCAGCTACCCAAGAGAAGCAAATCCTGATACAGAATCCATCCTCCCTTTTGCAAACTCCTTCTGTCTTAAAGCAGGCAACTGTCTACATAATCTGCTTATACAGTTACTACAAAATGCTTCATTTTGTTACAAATTTATCAACACAAAAGAAAAATTGTTTAAGGGCAAACTGACATTTCTGCCCAAAGACTAAATGAAGAGGAAAAACTACCAAAGTGAGATCCAGCATTGCATATTTGAAGACAGCACATGTAAGCATATGACAACCAATCAAAATTAAGATTTCATCACAAGATGTTATAAATATATTACAGGTGTTCTTCAAAAAAACCTTATTAATATATAGTCACAATGCAGTAAGGTAAACTGAAAACACATTCTACACCTGTAGATGATGCAAAGATTTTATCTTTGTTAACGTTTTGTAGTGTTTTTGTTGAAATAATGGGACCTCATATTTTCAGAATGGCATCTCTAAACCAAACATCCCAAAGCTGTATTTGTGCTCACTAAGTCAGCACATGACTGGGAAAGGGTCACAGTTTCTGTGTTTCTGATCACAGTAAGCAATGATTTTCTTGGGTAGCCAAGCACTTCACTTTCTTAGCTAACCACACTTGATACAAGGTAAGGGTGCAATTTTTCTGGCAATCAAAAGCTCATTTCAGAAGCTTGGTAAAACTTTTTGCAAGTGAGATTTTCAGATAGAATAGACACAACTGTGAGCAATTTACAGTGGTTACTATTCACACTGACTGTTTTTCAACAATTTTTTGTATTTGCTTTGTTACCACCATATTAATTAGTTCTCAGACACCAAGACTAATGCTACTGCAACGTGAACATATATTGGGTGTCCAGTTGGTGTGACTGGTTGTTTTGTTTCAGTTTTTTCCGCTGCTTTTACCCAGAACCAATGGCAAGCTTGAATGACAGCTGTGTAAAATTAGTACAAAAAGATAATGAATTTCTACTTACTTTCCTCTCCGCATACACAGACTCCATAATTTAACACCAAATGTTTGTAAGAAAGCTGGCTCATCATACTTGCTGCCTCAAAGAAGGACTTTGATGAAGGGAAGAGAGAGATTGATAGAGAATAAACATCAATGAAAACAAACCCACAAAACATTACACTATTTCTAACAAATTTATTAAAACCACATATATTTTTAAAAACATTTCAACATCCATCTCATTGAAAAGACCCTGTGTAACATATTTTATATTGTTTGAGGTGGTATTAGTTTGTTGAGGTGTTTTTTGTTATTTATTTATTTTAAAAATAACTGATAATCCACATTCCAGAAAGATTAGCAACCTCTTTTTCCGCAGGCAAGTGTAGCTCCATAGTTTAAAAAGAATCTTTTTTTCCACATTAGTTAACTAAGTAAAGCTAAACTACAGACAAATTCACAATGCACTATTCAATTTCCAATTTATTCTTTCATAATGCATCATTCAGTTTCCAATTTATTTCTTCATAGCACATTATTAAGTTAAAAGACAAGAAGTATTACATCACTCATCTACTACTGCGAGACCTTACCTAACCTTGTAAGGAAGGTTTCAGATGCTTTTATTTCTTTAGTAATTTTTTTTATTTTGTTCAGTGGCATCTCCAGCTACACTTGCTTGTGTACTTATTAGTCACCCAACAAAACTTACACTGGTAATGTATCTGAGCCCAAGATTGTGTACTAGTTTTTGCACAAAGGCATTTCAGGTTTGGTCATAGCTTCACTCAAACAGTGAAAAGTCTAAGTGAATACGGATGACTCTACATATGGCAAGTGTTTCTCATACATAAATACTTCTGATTTTTTACAACTTGATGTGAAATGTTGATTTTACTGGAGAATCAGTATGAATCCAAAACACTGAAGATAGTTGAATAAAATAAAGTATTTTTTCTGTAAGTGTTGGTCCCCCATCTGAACTTACTGGTAAAGGCAATTCTGTGGCCATACCACCTCTCCTGTGGTATTTTTATCATAGAAAGAAACTGTTCTCTGGATTTCAGGACGTAGCTCTGAATTCTCTGATGGATGGGGAGAGGGGAAATAAGGTACATAGATGTACTTCCCAAAACCAGTCTCAAATCCATACCCCTCCAGTGTCACGCAGTCAAGAATTAGCTTGGTTCAATATTCAACCCACTACCATATAACAAATACTCATTTATTGTAAGAAAAGTAATGCTCAACATAGAATGGACAAAAGTTATACAGCAGTCAACAATCACACCAACCTCAGAGTAGTTTCTATGCACTTTATCCAGCACCTTTAAAAGAACTTCAGTTTGATGGAGCTGGCCATAATCTCCCACTTCTTTCCTTACACCTTTGAAAATCTTAGTAAACGTGCCCTGTCCAAGACTCTCCTCCTAAAAGATTGATGGGAAAAAAATCAGAAATCTCTGCCTGTTTTGCAAGAGATACTTTAAACAACCACTCTAAGTGATGCATATGCAAATCTTTACAGCTAGCACACCTCTAGATTCATACTGAGGGGATAAGGAAGCAACTATATCAGAAACATCTTAAATATTTTCTTATTTTTTATTAACTCCTCAAGGATCTCAGAAAACTTGCTGCAAGAACCAGAGAGGAAGAAATTGCTGTTAAGATACATTTAGACATCCCTAAAAGTAAAGACAACTGCTATTGCAGTAAAAAGGATATTTCTCATGTACAAAAAAACCCAATTATTTGTATTGATGGAAAATAAGAAAAAAAAAACAAAACCCAAAACTTTCTCTCATAAGTCTAAATAAGGAAAATTATTGCAAAATCTCCTAGCTCAGAAAAGGCTCTTTTAAACATATATTGAGTTTTTTTAAAAATAGTCTGTATGAAACCATCTGCAGTGGAAAAAGCAACTAATGGACTTACAAATATCAAGTCCTCATTCCGGATTTTGTGAAAGACCATCTGGTTGACATTATTGTGTCTCTGCAGCGTAGGTGATGAAGGTACATCGGAAACACTATTGCTTCTGAAGACTAGGAGATTTGATTTATCTGGGAGAAGAAAGAGGGTGGGGAAAAGAAAAACAAAGTAAATTTGTGAAATATAAAACTAAATCAATATTATTTCAGTAAGATTAATAATGAGAAGTCATTAATCCAATGAAAAGAAGATACCACATTGAGATCCATTTATTCAAAAAGCCACACAGTATTTAATTAAACAAATTCAAAGTCTGATTTTTTATAATCAGCAAAAACATTTAGGTTCACTCAGCTATATTAAGTTTCTTAAGCACTCGGAATTTTGACAAACATTCTGAAAATATTCCTGCCTCCTTTCATATTTTAACTTCTGCTGTATTTGTAATAACAATCAGAGATGGAAAAAGGGGATGCAAGTCACCTTCTTTTATATTACAAAGTAATTCTGCTAAAGGTGTGCATAGCTTTCTGGTGCCTCTAATGCCTCTAAAGCTTTTACTTATTTTTGCCCTGGCAGCACTTTAGTGATCCAGATTGCCTTATGTTTACCAGAGTAATTATTCTTTGACTGATTTTGGAAAAAACTTCTCCACAAAGTAGAGCAGGTCTGCCAGTGAAACTAAAGCTTATAGGTACAAATTTGCAGGTATATGCCCGCGTGCATGCAGATTATATTTATTCAATAGTTTATTCTGATGTATACACATTTTTTGATTTGATGGAAATAAGGTTACAAAATCATTCTCTGAAATGTACATATGTTTATGTTTTTTATTTCAAATCTTTTATAAGCTTTTGAATCCATTAGCTAATTTCAATCAAATCTGAGAGAAGTAAAAGTGGTATAAAATAGAACTCTGTTCTCTCAAGCTTTTGCTTAAATAGGGATTTGGATAGAGACAAAGACTAATATTAACTCTAAGTAGTACTGCTTAGAAGAAGCAAAAAGGGCAGATGTTATCAGAATTCATAAAGTAGAAAGACGTTACGAATATCAAAGCTATGCAAAAATCTTTAATGTAAATTCAAGAAAATCCACTCCTCAGGCAGGAACTCTATTCCATGTGTATTTTTCAGTGTTAAAAAGAAGTTGAAATCACACTGCAGCCTTGGCATAATTCAGCTTTTTCATTCATTTCATTTGTCAACAAACAACAAAAGAAATTCACTAGCATTGTTGGTTCCACTGGTTATGGAACTATCCCCTCAAATAGAAATGATAGATTTAGTAGCTCTTTCCTTCTCAAGACAAGAAAACACTTGATTGAAGAAGAAATGCTGCAGCACACAATCCACTGCAATGTAGAAACCAGTTTTGCTTCTAATCAGGCAACTGGCTACCATGATTCTTTCTGGAAGACCACCTTTTAATAAGATAAAATTTGGCAGACACTAGGACTGAAAACTATGACTAAGAAGATGAACAAATAGGTCAGTGAATTTAAAAAAGCTCACATAAACATAAATATCTACTTATCAGAGAGTCATTTAATGTTAACTTATTTTTAAATCTTTAATCTAAATGTTGGAAACTCTTCTTAGAAATAACCTTTCCTCTTACCTTTTGGTTTTGGAGGACAGCATTTGATGAACTGGAAAATTATGCTGTCTGAACGGACAGTTTCTGTCTGGTAACAGGTCAACAAATCCTTAAGGCTGCTAAAACTTCTCTTGGTTCCACTAAGATTATATTCTCCATTCTCATTCTTCGTAATTAAGCAGTGCTTGTAATCAGTCGTATTCTCACGCTGAAAAGATTTTTTCCATTTTTCCATCCATCCAAAATAAAATTTATCAATATTTAGCATTTGAAAACTTATTTAAATGTATAGCACTCTACTAATTAAAGAAAGAATGCTTCAGCAAAATATTACTGTAAATTTGTTATTTTCTTCTCACTCTGTAATATTGATTCTGAGAAAACACGATTCTACTCGCATGACTGGAATTAGCATGTTGATGCTACAAAAAACAAAACTTACAAAATCTGCAAAGATGGAGCTGAGAAAAGATAATGGATCCTAGGAAAAATCCTTCAGGGTTGTAATGAAAGCTTCTTCACTTTTACATAGGGTAATATAAAAACAAAATTTTGTTGGAAGCAATAGCCCAAATGCTCACACTTCCACTCTCATGTTCTTTTGGCAAGCATTGCAGATCTCAGCTGTATTTCTACTTTTTTGTCATCTGCAGTACAGGTCTAAGCAATTAGTTCCTAGCACAGATTTTCAATATGCCCTGAATTATTTTTACAGTAAGTCTTGAAAAATCCCATTAAACATTTTTAAACAAGAGAAGCTCTTAATAATGTTCTTATGGTCCTTCACATCAACACTGCAGAAAATGTTACAAAAAATTCTGAATTTCAAAAGCCATCTAATGGCTTGCCCAGAGAGATTCAGAACAAGAAAAAAAAAAGTGGCTAGGTCACTTAATGGCAGGCTTAACTCACAAGACAACTCTCAGACTTTGATTCTCTAAGCTTGCTCAGGGACTGATGTCTTAGTTTAAAAAATTCCCTATGAAACACACTTCACTAACTAGACATAAAAACTTTGTGAAATTGTTCTTAAAATGGCAGTTTACTTCTCCATCCACACATCAAAATTATTTTTGTCATTTTCAGAGGCAGTATTTAGCAAACTTGCTAGCCTGCTGCAAACCAGCAGGAAAATCCACGTACTATATTCCCTAGTTAAAAGCCCCAAGGTAGCTCTGTTAGTTTAATTAGAGAAGCCCATCCTTGGAACAGTATCATGCAATTATGTAACAGCAACATTAAAGTACTGTATTATCACTAATTGCAATCTCACAGAGGAAAGGTACATCTGGTTCTTTAGCTGCATGAGAATTGCAGGTATTCCAAGGGTGGCTCCTGCTCTAGCTAAATACCAGATATCCAGCAGATCTGTGTTAATGTAACAGCTGCCAAATAATCTGGCTTTCCCAGCAATGGGATGGGAACAAGACCCAAACCCAGAGAACTTGTGAAGGAGAGAGACTCCCAGATCACCAAGGGCTGTATACTCAGCCTAACTAAACCCTATTCAGGAGGGGAGTGGAGTTGGGGTGGGTGCAAATCCCACGAAAAAATCCAACTAAAAACCCTCAAACCTTTAAAAAAGAAAAAAAAAACAAACAAAACCAACCAACCAAAACTCCCCAAAAAACACCAAACCAGAAACAAATGAAAAAAGCAAACTGCTCCAGCACCCAAACATATACTACAGTACCAAGAGCCACGTCACCATCCCCAGAACTCTCAAGCTCTCTTCCCTCCACCTGTCTTGTTCTCCTAGGCATATGGTATATGCCATTAGTGATTCTTTTACCATATAAGTTTTTTGATGTTTCTCACAAGACCCTGAAATTTGGCCAATCTAACAGGTGTAGCTATAGAATATATATATCAGACAAACAGTCTGAAGAGAAAATTCAGAATCATTTACTGAACATCCCTGGTTCATTATTATAACACAATAAAGATAATAGAGGTACTATCTAAGGCAGAATACAAACCTCTATAGCAAAGGTGAGGAAGTATTTTTTAAAATCTTTAGGACTGCAACGAAGAACGTAGAAACCAGTCTGATTACCTGCTTTCTTCAGTTTACTGATAGCAAAGTCCATCCTAGTAAAAAGAAAATGTTCAATATTGTATATTTTCAAGATCCAGGAACATCAGAGATTGGGCAATGAGCACTATTATTAGATATCTAATAGAAAAACGATTCAAATTCTAAATGTTTTACAGCTTCCTTTAACTTAATCTTTTTTTCCCTTTATTTTCCAATATTCAGAGTGGCTGCTTATATATCGAGCAGCATATTAAAAATTCTTAATACTGGAAACACCACATTTATTTGATGAGAAATCTTACAGCCTAAAAAAGTATATTCCTCCTAGGCTTATGGCATGACTTTCAACATCCATTATGGAAGAAGATGTAATAAAATTATCTAATAAATAAGTTAAAATTAGCAAAATATTTGTGTGGGTGAAAAAGATGGGTTTACCTTGGGAAAGGGCTAACAAGAAAGGAGCTGAAATAAAACTTCATTTGTTACTACAAGAACAAATTTCCCTTTAAGCAGGCCTTGTTAACTGACTATTACTATCCATCTTGGCGAATGAGGAATAGAATGGCTTGGAAAGGTCTGGACTCATCGCACATCCTTCTAAATAGCCCTAAATAAAGGTCAACATACAGCATTAGTCATTAGTGCAATAAATGTGATTAGAACTGTATAGGTCCCAAGCATTTTCTTCCTTATCTCTTCTAAAGGTTATAGCACCTATCCTCTTTCTGTCATTGGGAAATTTACAGAACTATTTTGTATTAGCTTAATAGACAGTGCTAGTTTCATGCAACATACTTGCATATATCAGCTTTCAAGCTTTCTGTAACTAAAGCAACTATCCATTTTATTCTGCCAAACAAGACATTTCTAAGCTCCCATGTGTGCTTCTGCAAACAATAAACAATACTATATGAACTAGTAAAAAACTTAAAAAACCTCAATGAATGTATTAAATTCTTCCCCTAAAAAAAAAAAAAGTAGCAAAGCAAGCAAACAAAGAGACAACATTCCTTAAAAATAAACAAAGCCTTCAATTTATACAGCTAGCAGATTACTGCAGTCCTTGCTCAAATATTGAACAGTGTTTTGCCCTTGACAACTCAGACAATATAACTGCTAGAGGCTGCAGAGAAAACATGAGATCTTCTGTCTATGACACTGTATATTGCTGCCATGGTAGTAACTATAATTCTGTAAAATCAGTATCATGACTTTACTGCCTGCCTCACTTGAAAAAAAGAAGGGAAGAAAATTAAAACCAGAATCTTTTAATTTCTTTTTTATAATACATTATTGAAAAATAAGAGGAAAAATGTAAAGCATCTTATGTTACATAGATTTAATAAATACACATTTCAAGATGTCTAGTTCAGTCCATAGTTCAGTCAACTAAAGTTCATCTTTCAAAAATAGTATCACCTTGTTATATTGCTAAAAATTGCTTACAAAATTGGTCCATGGCAGTTGCTTTGGATATTTTCAAGGACTGATGGTGGTGCTACTTCTTTACAGAGATAATGGTGGGCATCCGCAGTTAATCTGTAATATCCATCAATTAATGATATAAAGGACAGAGCTTCTCTTAATGACTGAAATTCAGCCTCCTGTTAAATTGCCAGTGGACAATGGCGGGGAGAGAGAGAGAGAGAGATAGAGAGAGAAAGAGAGAGAGAAATAATTTCAATTTTTAATACACAACACAAAATTCCTGGATATGGTAATGGTATAAAAGATATAAATATATGCATACATTAAAGATATCCTGATAATTTTCAACTACTGTTTGTATAGTTCTACCTTCCTGATTCCACCCAAAACTTGTTAGCAATCATCAATGTTCAAAATTAAACCCAAACCTAACACATCTACCATAAAAAACCCCTTACTCTAAATAAATGAAACAGCAGAGGAATGGTGACAAGAGGAAACATTTGAAAGGGAAAAACTGAGTAGATGCAACTCGGCATGACAGACACCTACTGCACTAGCAACACAGTGTTATTTTTTTTTTCTTAAAGGAAAGCCTTTGCTTATCAAAGATTTATGGGGCTGCCTTCAAGTCGCAAAGAAACATCTCTAGAAAAGTACCTGCCTGAAAATTTAAGTAGTCATCAGCAAAAAATGGCATCCTGAGCCAGATCATAGATAGAAGCTGACCTTTAACTGCTACGAAGATAGATGCAATGGATAGAAGTGGGGAGAACAGTAATGTAGCCAAAGGAAAAGGGGGTGTGGAAAAGGTCTATGCAGAATATGTTGAATAGGTAAGAACAGGGCAAAATTAAATCCATCTGTAACAACATATTTATTATTGCCAATAAGGGAGAATAGAGTCTATTTTTATATAATTACCTGTATTTTCTTAATATTTTGACAGTTGTATCAGAGCATTGAAGGCTGTCTTTAATTCAACAAAGAAGTGCTAGACTACCATCTACAGAGTCACACTAGATTTCACTTAGTAATGTAGGCCAACAGAACAGGCTTTAGTACGCGCTGCACAAGTTTGCCCACGACACTGGGGACACACTTAGTGTCTGAACACAACTGCGTGGCAAATTCTTCGCTAAAGAGCAATAAAAAAGTTGGCGCTCTTGATCACATGCCAAGAATTTGTTTGGAGTCTTCAAACTCCTTATTAAAAGGGGACCTGGAAACAGGTTCCTGTTGTTTCAACATGATCAGAAAACCTATACAAACAACAGACCTAGAAATCCAGCCATTTTAATCAATTCATGTATCCAAAACTGCTATAAGCAATTTTGCACTGCTATAAGCAATTCTACTACTTGTGTAAGAGGTTAAACTCAATCATTCTACATCAGCTAATTTATACATCAGCTAATTCTGGTGCGTATAGTGTCCACACAGAAACGATAAGCAAAACAGCAACTACTGCACTTTCTCCTATTCTGCCTGACTCTTCAGTAAGCTTTTTTAGACAAGCTCTTAAAAAGTCACTTTTACCCTCATATGCAGTCAAGTACCTAACTACTGCTACTAAGAGTTTTTAAAGAGAATTTCAATGGTTGAAGATTATGGAAGCCTTCTCCACCAATAAAATATTATTATGCTCTCAGCATCATAGTTACATACCACAAATATTCCAGCTACTCTTACATTTCAATAAAGAGCCTTGAAAAAATTTCAAATTCACAGTAAGTCATTCTGTGCCACTAAAGTAGGAAATTAATGTGAAACACAATTCTATAAATGAAAGTAAGCCATATGCCTTTTTTAAAAAAAACAAAAGAGCATAACCAGAGAGACAATAAAATTAGTTAATACTTACTGAAATATTTTTGGAATTTCTTAAGATTACTTTTACAGAAAAGAAGTACATAAGCTGTACACAGCTTTTTCACACACACACAGAGAAGGAAGCTCTCCAATCACACAAATGCCAGAGATGGGGAGCCCTGAAGGCCTATGAAGTCACAAAAGATAAAGGAAGAAAGAATTTGTACTGCGTTTGCATGGCTAGGTTTTGGTAGCAGGGGGGCTACAAAGGTGGCTTCTGTGAGAAGCTGCCAGAAGCTTTCACTGTCTCTGACAGAGCTAATGCCAGCCGGCTACAAGATGGACCCACTGCTGGGTCAAGGCTGAGGTCATCAGCAACGGTGGTAGCACCTCTCCGATAATGTATTTAAGAAGCGGAAAAGGAAAACTGCACAACTGCAGCTGTAGAGAGGAGTGGGAACATGTGAGAGAAACAACTCTGCAGACACCAAGGTCAGTGAAGAAGGAGGGGGAGGAGGTGCTACAGGCGCTGGAGCAGAGATTCCCCTGCAGCCTGTGGTGAAGACCATGGTGAGGCAGGCTGTCCCCTTGCAGCCAACCGAGGACCTCACACCAGAGCAGGTGGATGCCTGAAGGAGGCTGCGACCCCATGGAGAGCCCACACTGGAGCAGGTTCCTGGCAGAACCTGAGGCCCTGTGGAGAGAGGAGCCGATGCTGGAGCAGGTTTGCTGGCAGGACTGGTGACCCCGTGGGGGACCCACACCAGAGCAGTCTGTTCCTGAAGGACTGCACCCCATGGAAAGGACGCAGGCTGGAGCAGTCTGTGAAGAACTGCAGCCTGTGGGAAGGACCCACATTTGAGAAGTTTGTGGAGGACTGCCTCCTGTGGGAGAAACCCCACACCAGAGCAGAGGAAGAGTGTGAGGAGGAAGGAGCAGCATGTGATTAACTGACCACAACCCCCATTTCCTGTCCCCCCTTGTGCTGCTCATGGAGAGCAGGTAGAGAAAACTGGGAGTGAAGTTGAGCCCAGGAAGAAGGGAGGGATGGGGAGAAGGTGCTTTTAAGATTTGTTTTTACTTCTTATTATCTTTCTCTGATTTGACTGGCAATAAATTAATTTCCCCAAGTTGAGTCTGTTTTTCCCCTGATGGTAACTGATGAGTGATCTCCTTGTCCTCATCTCAAACTATGAGCCTTTTGTCATATTTTTCTCCCTCTGTCTAGTTGAGAAGGGGGAGTAATAGAGTGGCTTTGGTAGGCACACTTGCATTTAGCCAGTGTCAACCCATCCCATAACTATGTGCTAGTTACACCTGCTGGAAAGTGTGAGTCAAGTGCAATGCTGAAGTTCAAACTGAAACACCTTAACTTTTTATATTCATGTATAAAATACTTTAAGATCTTCAAAGAATTTTAAACAGTAAAAGCAATTATATTTTGCCCCAACACTGATCTTCTGTGTACCATCATTCTTTCAGAGCATTTTGAAGCCTTTCTCAATGTGCTGGTCACTGACAGACAGCTTACTATGACAACATGGAAACAGTATGGTCGACAGCTAAAACCATAGACTCCAAACTCAATCTGTGTATCAGAAGTTACCCTCAGCTACGAATGTCTACTTCTATTTCAGTTCATGCAGAGAGCTTTGAATGCAAAAGATCTTTGGTGTTCTAATACACTGTTTATATTGCTGAAATGCATTTAGTTTTACCTCATACTTAATTAACATGGTAACTGGTACAGTATTATACAATACTGTAAATACCAGAGACTGCTCAAATCAACACCTATTTGAAAAAACAGCAAGCAAATAAACAGACCAGATTCTTGCTGTCTTGTTTGTGAATGGTGACAATTCTTCTTTCACTGGAGCCTTCTTGGCTTGCTTGTTTAATGCTGACATCAATGATATCAGGAAAATCACAGTATGTTTGTAAATCCTGCAATAAATACTGGTTATTTAATGTCAGTAGTAACATAAATAGCAACTAAAAAACCCCACCTAATTGCAGCATTAGAATTCCTACAACTCTGAACTTGTAAACTAGCAACAAAGAGGATCATAAAACCTTAAATATGCCATTACAAATGAAAAAAGGAGTTTTGTGTTTATGGGGCCATCATTAGGAGCATCAAATAAAAAATGCACAAAGATCCAGGAGCCGTGAGTGGAAATATCCATATATGGGATGGGGTTTTTTTATTGTAGATATTAGTTTACTAAGTTTTTATAACCAATTTTATAAAGTTCCTATACCAGTGAAAATATATGCAACCTACACTACCTCTGTCAATAAGTGAGATATTATTAATTAAAAAAAATTTGTCAATTTCTATAGGAAATATGACCAATTTAAACACTATTCTTACTAAAGGCTTGATTGCCAGCCCAAACAGCATACTACGCATAAATTTTCTAGACCTAAAACTAGAAATTGCAAAATCTGACATTTACGTTAGCTCCTGCCAGAGCAACTGGCACTTATGGGCAACTTAGGAAATGCAGAGGGTTGATACATAGCGACTACAAATGAGGTAACTGGACCTAATGTCAGTCTACAAATATTGTAAGAACATCACACAAAAAAATCTATGTACATTTTCACAAATTATTATAGCATACTGTAAAATACAGCCTTTTGTAGTTTGTTCTTCACTGCTATCTATTATGCATCAAAACTACCAAACTATCAGATGCAATTATTTTGGAAAACTGACATGTGTTCCACTTTGCCTTTAATTTTACCTTTGGAAAATTCCCACAGTCTCAACGTATGCTGCTACGCGTTTGTACCAGATTCTGGTACATTCAGATTCAACAAAAATTAATAGACATGCTGGGCATGTCTTAATTGCTAGCATTTGTTGGAACCATTTAGCATCTAATTCCTGAAAAAAGAGTATATGGACTCTGCAGTCATTGAAATGTCACTTTAAATTTGCTAACTCAGACATTGTTAGGAGTCTAACTGCAGCAGGAAAGAGGCATAGGTGTAGGGAAATTAACTGGTTTCTGGAGTTCTTAAAACCCTGCTCTCAAAGATAATTTGAGGTATTTGTGCATTTTACCTATATGCAGGGGCAGGATAATTACTTTTCTACATTAATTTTTTTACAGTAATGAAGGTACAACACTGAATTTTTTATTTGTCAAGCACAGAAGTACTACACATTCAAGTATTGACTTCTTTCTAATACTTCAATAAAAAAAACCTAATTTTAAAATCCTGCACTATTTAAGTCAATAGATTTCTGTAAGCCTCAGCCATACCGAAATTGTATCATCACTGTGAAGTAAAATTTACTTACCCAGTTTATCTGGGGTAAATCAGAACTTCTAACATTAGCTAATCACTCTGTTACATGATAAACTGCACAATTATTAAAACAGTAAAATAAATTACCTGCTCTGACAGTGTCTCACAGTCTTTAAGTTTTCCTCTTGAGCACTGAATTCCACCATTTCCAGTTATTACAATGGTTGCAAAACTTTCCTCTCCAGAAGGATCTCCACCGGGTTCTTTTACTTCAAAAACCTCTGAATAGAAGGCAGGCTGAAGGGTTTCCAGATTTATAAGATACTTAAGTTTCAAGTTTCTGGCAGTAGCTTTGCATTGGCCAAACTGTTGTATAAATTTGCGGAACCTGTACCTTATTCTTTTTCGCGTCAAAATGTGGTAATCTTGGATTTTTGCTCGCACACATTTAGGCAAAAACATTTTGTAGCTGTGAATAGACAACCAACAAAAAAACTACTGATTTTAGCCACTAAATCCAGCAAAGATAATTAGTTTTGCACTAAACAAGTGAACATGAAAATATCTTTTCCACTAAATGTAACCTTATTCTTTAACTGTAGGATAACAAGGATCCTTTAGTCGATCTGTAGTATGTTCTCTCAAATACAGCCCCGTTTCTTCTGTTTTCCCACCTCACTCAGTTTCAACATATATTACATAATGCATTTTCCATAAATCCAGATATGTTTGTTCTAATCACCACTGAAGTTTTGAGGTAAGGCAGCAGTTGCTTTGTTTGGTGTAGAAGTTGGAAAGAAGATACTGCGCAAGATAGAGGCAACTACACAGATAGAGGACAGACTTCCTGGTTGAAAATATAGGTGGTAGAATACAACACTGTGGTTGGTTCTCACTGAAGTTCCTGTATCACAGTCCATATTCTCTATCAAGAGGCAGAAGAGTGGTTTGTCACCTACAATAAGCTGGCCAGTTCATTGTCTCATTCTGTTTTTTTACTCCTCCTGCTGCGTTTCATTAAAAGACAAACATGAAGCATTAAGTACTAAGCAGGGACAGAATACACTCAGTGGGAGTAGAAACTCCTTAGGTCAAGAAACCAAAGTGAGTTGATAAACTCAAGCAAGTTTAACAGAGATCTGCCCAAGATGGTTAAAAGCCTGGTGCATATGACATGACAGAAGAGGTATACCGGAGCTTGATTTGTTCAGCCTGGAGAAAAAAAGGCTCAAGTACGGTGTTCTACTAATTCAGTCTTCTCCATAACAGATGGTTATGGAGAAGACTGAATTAGACTCAGCCATGCACAGTGAAAGGACAAGAGGCAACAGAGGACAATCAGTATCACAGAGGAGACTGATTAGATGCAGAGAAAATCTTCCTCAATGAGGGTGATCATACACAGGACAAACTTGCCCAGAGATATGGTGGAATCTCCATCCCTGGACATTTTCAGAACTTGACTGGACAAAGCCCTGAGTAATTTCATCTAACTTCAAAGCTGGCCCTGATCTGAACAGTGGTTTGGATCTGATGACTCCCAGAGGTCTCTCCCAACTCAAATTATTACTTACATCCTTTCCCACACAAGTAGCTGCTGCCCTACGTCTCCTTAAGGGAATCAAATCCACGTACCCAAAAACTTGAATGGCCATAATGATACAAGCTTTCTATTAATTTCTAGTCACATTATAGGTAAGTTTATGGAATCATTACGTACAATAAATCATATGTAAATCATAACATATGTTACGTATAACATAACCTCCCATATGTTAACATGCAAAAATATTCTTTCCAGATATCACGTAGGTGTGATACAGTTATGAAGTATGGAGCCACCTGACTGAATTGTAAATAGCCAGTGGGGTTTGGTCCTTTTCTTTGGCCACTCTCATCATATCCAGAACAGCCATTCCAAGGCATTCTTCCTGTGTTTCATGAGTAACAGGCATCTGTATCCATCCATCCAAAAAATCATCTCGCCACTGAGAAAGAAGAATGCAAGAAAGCAAATTAAAGCTGTGGCAATGCTCACCAAAAGAAGTTTTTTTGGGTGTGGATTTTTCTACATAGTTACTATCAGAAGATGTGAAAAGGAATAAATACTAACAACCTTTATCAATCTGCATTAAAACAATAATCAAGCAAATCATACCTGTGCAAATAGGTAAGACATGACAAGATCATCAAGAACAGGGCTTTCTGCACCTCGAAGAATACCATACCGATATGCTCTGCTGGTGCCATTGCAATACCAGTGGGGAAAATAAAACCTGTTAGGAAATATTGAAGTGAACATCAATAAACAGATACTTTCACTTACCAACACCAGACATTATGGCTTTCATAGACATGTGCGTAGTGTTGGCTGGTTTGGAGGACCAATATGAAGCCCCAGTTAGTCAATGGAAGGCTTTGGATCCAGTTGCTGGTGTCTTAAAGTACTACAACATTTAAGCAGGATGATAAGCTGTACTGGTAGGAACAAGGAGCTCTGCAAAGTTATGCTCACTAATCAGAATATAGAAAATTTTGTGTAACTCTCTTCCAGCTTCCTTTGAGACAGTTCCTAAAGAAACACTCAGGCCATGTTATGCAACGTAAATAAACAAAATCTTTTATGTAAGAAAAACTGTCACTGTAGCTTTAGATGTACAAATTCAAAAATCAGGTTAGAGAAAAATAGTTCTATTGCAGACATCTGCTTGATTACATAGCATAATTACTACACATTTCAGAATGGCCACTAATTTCAAACAGGCAAGCACAGAGTAGATGAGATGTATCATTATTAAGAAAAATAGAATTTTTACTACTTTTGCTATGTTTTTTATTGTTTGTTTCTTCATCCTGACATGGTAAACATATGGTATATAGACAATTGATAAAATATGTCATTCGAACCTACTACAATAATTTTGATTCTTTTATCTATCTCTTATCAAGATATCACCAACGATCTGCTCATAACTTCTTAGAGAAACTATGGCTCAACTAAATTTCTTTTTGTTTGTGTTTTCTCACAAAGTTTTGCTTTACCATGAAAAGTGCATAATATTTGATTTAGATTACCTTATCCGGTAAATGAGGATGAGTCTTGTTGCTTCATCTACATGGAAGATGTGATTTGGGGGATACCACATTCTCTCTGTTTCACTCATGAGTGCGAACATGTTATGATACACTGGCATGATACCTAAACAAAGAACAGAGAAGCAAATATTTATAAGAAGTTGTTTTCACAAAGAATCAACCTTATTAAAAAAAAAAAATACTGTAGGTTAAAAGTAGCAGACTGGGACATGTCGTCCAAATATTCATTGCACTGCTCTATCAGTGTCAACAGCATTGCACTCATCACCCTATAATCTGGGGACTGGTTTTGCAGGTTTATTTTCTCATTCTTCCTTTACGTTTTCTTACTGCAGACTGTGTTCACCTGTTATCTTATACTTTACTGTTAGATTACAAGATTTGCTTTGTATGTATTTTAATACAGTGGCTTCTTAGCCTCTCAGTTTATTAACAGCTAACAACAGTGCATTACGTTTTTCCTTACCTTTTCAAAAAACAGATCTAGGCGCTGAATTTAAGATTTTACACCAATGAAAAATGAGAAGTAAAGCAATATAAAGAAATTCGTCATGACTAGGACAATCGCCTGTCACTTACACTTTAATAGTTCAGTTGAGAACAAAGCCAAGCATATACTGTTAATTAAACAATTTTTTTCGCTCAACAATTAAAGGTTGTTTTAATGAGAATTGACAAGCAATCCTACTTAATCACAAACTATGGAATCAGTTGAGCATCAACTCTTCAGCAGCACCACAATTTTAATTTGGCTTTGGGGCTCCCAGCTGAAAGGACAGCCTAAGACAGATGCCACAGCATTGTACTATGCTTCGGTCCATGCAATTCCAGTGCTATGATTTGGAAAACAAGTTAAATGCCTAAGAATTGACAGCACAAAAGGATGAACTTCCAACAACTGACAAACATACTTTGAAGACAGGAAGAGATACAGGTCTAGAGGTCAGAGAGAAGAATAAAAATTACAACGTGAAAGTCACAACAGTTCATAATGACAAACAAATAAGTGTACATTAAAGCAAGACACTTTGGGGGAAGAAGGCAAAAAATATTGAAAAAAATAACAGATAAAGACAACAAAAGTAACTTAAAATGACATTGAGAGACAAAAGAATTCTGGGAAAAGGCAAAGTACTCACAACCCCGTGTAAAGACTTCAAATGAATCACTGAAATTCATACAAGAAACCAGCAGGAAAAAAAAAAAAAATCCCTTATTTATTTATTTCTGTTGTGAACAACATTTACGTAATTACTGAATGGGGCAGAACCGTATTTCTTTCATCACATCTAAAGTGCATGTAAGACAATCAGTTAGAAACAACTAGTCAACTCCACATATAAAGCTGCAAAAGCTTGTGGAACAAAAAGTAATTCAGTCTTAAATAATGACTAGCTTAAACTTGTTACAAAATGGGGTTTGCCTCTGTAGGGAGTCAGTAGGAGGGCTAAGAACAAGATGTCTATTGTGCAGATGTCAGATTAAACTGCCGAAAGCTACATGCTAGTCATCTGACACTTGTTTAAACTAAAACTCACGGAAATACATCAGAACGGCAAGTTCTAACACATGGTTTTCTATGAAAAGGAGTCATAGACTTACAGGAAACCACAGAAATGGAAAGCATTATGTAAAGTAACCAGAAAGATAAACCAAAACTAAACAAAACCCCCAAAGAAATAACCCTGACAGGATTAGTAACAGAAGGATTGGCTGTAAATCCAGAGGTTGCAAATTAATGGTGCAGTAAGATATATTTGATCCATCAGAGTTTTAAGAAATATTGAATTAACTCAATTTTAAGGAGTTAAAAAGAAATGTATCCCACACAACCAAACATGGTTCTCATTTGATGTGTGAAGAGGGATCAACTAGATGACATTACAGAACAGTTGTCTATAAAGCCCTAACAACTGACTTCACAGTTTTAAGGCTGTGTGGTGTCTGTATCCTGAATAACTTCAGTTCAATTACAATGTAACACATGTGACTCACCAGCCTAATTCAGGATTCTAGCCAGATGCTAAACATCATTCAAGCCAATGGTGAATATTTACCTAATCTCACTAATACATTTCCCCTAACTATTAACAAGAAAACATTTCCAAGTCATATTCTTAAATTCAAATGTTAAGCTGTCAGACACTACCACCACCAACCCTGCCTCTCAAAAAATCCAAACTAAAACAAAAAAACCCCACAGACATTTCAATCCAGATCATATCACTGCTGTTCTGAAACTTCAACTAAGCAAGGACCATGACTTTGGAATTCCCCCTGCAAATCAGACAGGTGGGCATTAACAATAAATAAATAAATAAATAAATCCTCTTTGCCATCTTCTTATGTATAAGAAGTAAACTATGCACTCATCCATCCCTAATATTTTAGCATTTATAATTCCAAATGGTAACTCGGTAACTTGTACCTTTCACTGCCAGTGCTCAATGACATAAAGATCCCATATGTTTCCATGAAAAGGAGTTCCAGTTTTTTTCCCCCCTTTTTTTTATCCCCCTCAAGAATGACGTATTTGTGCCAGAATATTGCTTCACTTTAAAAAGTTCAATGACTATGCAAACAGAACAAATTCCCTTATTAGAGTCTTGAAAATTGTTCACAAAACTCTGACAATCAAAGCAGAGACCGAAAATGTCTCCTTTCATGTAATTCTTACCAGCACTACTAATTACAGGGACTTTTCAAGGGAATAGTAACTGCAGCATTTAAGTGTTTCCTTGAGAAACAATGACTGCAGATGGAGGAGGAGGTGGGAGGGTGGGATGGGGAATCAAGGTCTTCTGCTGAAGCCTAGACATGTCAACAATAGTGAAAACTTCTGAGAAATGTTACTTTTAACACAAGCAAAATCAGAAAAGCTGTTCACAACAGGTACTAAAAAACCTCCCCTGGATTTCTGCACTGCACTAACTACGCTATCAAATCAACTAATGATTAATTAGGAGAGGAGACAGTGAATCAGGCATAATAAAGCAGAACTGTTCTCCACTTTGCATCTCTAGCAAGTGCTATTAAATACATTTTCCGGACTCGTTCCACACCCAGACAAGCCACACTACTTCATTTACCCTGAAGCAGCTAGAAAAATACAGTTTTTCTGTATTTCCTCCTTTGTTGGCCTTAGGTACCCTTTCACCCATACAGTATGTTTTCATTAAGTAATGTCCCTTTGTAAACAAAAAACAAAAACCAGAAACTATAAATCACAAAAAGCCACGACACTACTATGGCGTGTGCAAGCCATGTGCAATCTACAGTAGAAATAGTGACTTTTGAAACTGTTAAAGCATATAAATAAGTGACTAGACATACACAGATTAAAGCAACTAGTTGCATGGAGTTAATGATTAAAAACAATTTTAAAATCTCAAATTTTCAAAGTCTGATACAAACATTAGTCAGCTCTCACACACAACTGCCAGGTAAACTATAAAACTTACAAAGTTGTGCACAAACTGGATGGAAAATTGCTTGTCTTTTCTAATACAAAAACAGTTTCTTACTCTAATGTTTCATATAAAACTAGAGGCTTACCGAACTCTGATACCACATTCAATATTGCTATCCTGTACAAAATGTTTTCTGAATAGTTAATCGAAGCACATGACTCCTTTCTTGGCAAAACAGAATTGCCCAGAGTTTTGACTAATTAATTTCTTCTGGGGGGTGTGGGGAGGGAGGGTGCGTGTGTGGTGGTGGTGTGTTGTGTGCAGATCTTCAGGAAAGGCTAGCAATCACTTAAGAACAAAACAAACCCCTCAAAAAACAAGACCCACAATGCGCAGTTACAATCAATGATAACTGAGCCATATGACTTCTGGAATTCAGCGTAGTAAGGATAAAACTGCCTAAAATTCTCTAGCTACTAACATGAAAGCTCCTCTGAACCAAAGAGGTACTACAGTTCATCACAATCATCACATTATGCAACACACTCCCTTGAAAATGTTTAATTGACTGCAGACACTGTCAGTGCTTAGTCACATTAAATGTTCTGAAACACTTTTACTTTTGTATAAATTAAAATTCTTTGTTATCCTATGGCTTTCCAGGAGATATCAGTCCTTTTCAAGGAAAGTACCATGGAACTTCTAATCTATTTGCAAATCAGATGCAGGATGAGAATTAGGAAGTTCCCAAGTGGAGGTTCAGGATATATAAATATATCCTGAATATTAAAAAAAAGCAAAAACAAAACCAAAAACACAGAAGCCAAAAAAATGAAGGTCTTTTCTTAACTGCTAGCTGTCTGTAGCTCAGAAACCCAGTCAGGATTATCAAACTGCTTCCCTCTTGGGATTCTATTTCCATTAAAAAGTTAAGATTTCAGGGTTTAACAGTTCTAACAGAAGGGGAGGGGGGAAATCAGAACAAAAACCTGTCAGAGAGCAGATAAAGTCAGAGATGTCCTACAGAAATTTAGGATTCATATACACCATGGCGACAAGCCATGGTAGAAATGCAAGATGCTAAACAAAACTATGCTCCTTGGTTGACTTCGTCAAAACGTTTTTCAGTGCATGATTTGAATGTTATCATTACATTTAAACGCACTAGCTCTGCATACTTTTGCTACTAGTTTATTAAGATTTTTTAAGAACATGGCACAAATTTATTTGGTTACCACCAAAGCAATGTTTGGCTCACAGTTGCAACTGCTTTAACTGTGACTTACAAACTCACTTACTTAATGTAATATAAAAATATCTTCCCTTTGTTAAATTCAGTAACAATTTGGATTATACATACAAGTGATGCATGTATTTTTTACTCATATTATTCAGCTGATGGAATAAATTAACAAATTGTTAGTTTAAAAATTAAAAGAAAATTGTTTTTCCATGTAACAGTGGTTTTATGTATAATGTATTATTCTCATAAGCTGCAGTGTACAGTTCACAGTTGTTTGGGGTTTTTTTGTTTTGGTGGGGGTTTTTTTGGTATGGTTGGGTTTTTTGGTTTTTTGGGTTTTTAAATTATCTTAAATACACTTACAGGACACTAGGCAGTATCTTATTGCAAAATTATTGGTATATCATATGTACACTAATATAGTTTAAAAAAACATTATTCTTTCTGTATACAAATAAATACATGCAAGATTT